TCTCTCTCAGTGCGTCACACACACACACACACACACACACACACACACACACACACACACACACACACACAAACTGGAGGGAAGAGAATGACATGAACACAGAGCAGAGGAACAGTGATGAAGAAAAACGAAGAGGGCAGACAACACTCACCTTGCGACAGGGACTGAAAATGAAGAAGACAGGAGGTTGGCCTTCACTGTGGCTGCGCGTCAACAACAATGGGGTTCGAAATTGAATTCAAAATTCCAACGCCTCACCGCTGCAGGGGCAGCACAGGAACATGGGTGCCTCTTACGAGGGCATATGGCACAGAGCCCGATGGAAAGGGACCAGCAGTTGAGGGAGGGCGTCCTGGAAAGTTGCGCCCACTACCGACAGGGGCCTGCCGAAAAGATTTTTAGGCCCAGGGGCATAGCAGGGTAAATCGGCTGTCGGAGGGGTGCAACGCAAATTAATGAAAAATGCAGGGGAACCAGACAAATTTTCCCTTCTCTTTTATAGCACAATCTCATTCCTTTTTTTCCTTTTGCTTTTTTTTTCTTGCTAGAAAGGAAGACTTTCGACTGGTCGCTCTAGGCTCTGCAAGGCTGGACAAGGCTCGGTCGGTGGCAGGAGGGTAGGACTTGATAGCTGGGAAACGTACAGCCTGTGTGGCGAGCCTGTACGAAGTTGTATCAACAAGTTATAGAGATAGAGAATAAGTTATATAAAATCAGTTATAAATAAAAGTATGTCTTGTTTATTCACATCTCGAAAATATTCTGCCATAGTTAAAGCAGTAAGTCCAACTCTCTTGCGAGCGCCTGGCGGCTCATTCATCTGTCCATAAACTAGAGCTACTTTGGATTCAGAAATGTTTTCTTGGGTAATAACTTTACATTCTTTCATCTCCATATATAACTTATGAGAAAACTATGGCGCACTCAGGGTTACAGTTTGTAATTGCATTTGAAACTGTGTTTTAGCAGTTTAGTCAGGGCCCGAGTTTCAATTGCAGTTGAAACTCGGGCTGCCTTTTCTAGCAGTTCAGTCAGAGTCAGGCACATGGCCGTTTTTTCCTTTTTT